ATTGGGAAAATTTTTAATGATATACTATTTAGCCCCTCCTGATGGTAAAAAAAAAAAAATTGAAACCCGGAGAAAACAAATAATATAAACTGAAGACTTAAGCTTTATTAATTCAGAACAATGCCCCAAACCCAAATTGCTAATCATATTGTGTTTTAAAACTGCATACATTTTTCAAAAATCAGCAATTTAAATTTTTTATTAGTTACCTAAAAGTACATGCTCTGAAGTATATAGCTACCTTTGCAACTTCTCTTCGTTATTCTGTAAAGCGTGCATGCTTCTATCAAGAATTTTCACAAAAATATCATTATCATTTTCTTTGTTTATTAAAATGAGGATAAGGCATGTAGTTCAGCAGTATATAATTTTCTTTGAATGTAAGAGGCTCTTATCCCTGGTACAAATAAGTGCATTTTATGAGCTTTTAGAGAATGAAGAGATAGTGCAGGTGTTTAGTATTGTGTGCAACTGACCCTGCTTTGATTTCTAACATTGCATATGATCCCATGAGCACCACCAGGAGTGATCCCTGAGCACAGAACCCGGAGTAAGCCTTGAATAAACCTTGAGAACCACCAGGTCTAGCTTACCCGCATAACCCCAAATTAAAAATAAATAAAATGGGCTTTTACTTAAGTTTTTCTTGAGTACATTTACCCAAGTATCTTGAAGTGCTGGTAATTATGATCTGTATTTAAATTTAAAAATATCTTTTTTCACTAATAAGCAATGATAAAAATAAAAAGTCATAATTCAATGATACCAATGTTTTGAAATGACATTAAACATGTGACTGGTGGTGTCACTGATTTTTAAACATACTGAAAAACATTGTATTGTTCCCTCTCTCAGAGTGGCTAACTTGATGGTTTCTAATGCTAAAAATTTTTCTTTTGGAAAAAAAAATTTGTATTTAGAGTCTGACTCATTAGGAAATTGTATTCTGAATTATTATTACATATTTACATAGTTGATTCAACCTGGCACTAATTGTATTTTTACTAAAAGTATAAAATGTTTAAAGCTGTTTTTGAAATATAAAGAGAATTTAATATTGAAATTTTCAGTTTATATTTATCTTACACAAGTAAGTTGTGATTTCTGGCCATCCTCAGTCATCAGAAAGCCTGTTTTGGTGAGAGTGAATTAGCATCCTTTAGATTGTATTGAGTTTATGTGATTATTAGCTCTGTTATAATCTATATGCTCTGTGAGCTTAGTGCGAGTGCAATGCTAGAACTAAATAGATATGTGTGTGCATCAACATAATAAATTAAACATAATAAATTTATTATGCAAAAATTGTGATCTTTTAGTGTTTAGCTTTATATTATGAAGGACATCACTGTCACTGTCACTGTCCTTCCATTGTTCATCGATTTGCACGAGTGGGTCCAGTAACGTTTCCATTGTGACAATTGCTACTGTGTTTGGCATATCGAATATGTCACAGCCTTACTGTGCTGGCGAGATACTCTCGGTAACTTGCTGGGATCTCCGAGAGGGGCGGAGGAATCTTACTCCGGTCGGCAACTGCCCTACCTGCTGTGCTATCGCTCCAGCCCATGAAGGATATATCATGTTTAATAGGAAAGGAATGTAGAAAAATGTTCTGTGCCTCTTTTGTTGTTGTTTTTGTAGTTGTTGTTATGAAAACTCAGTAACTAGAGATTCTTAACCCCGTAGTTTAAGAATAGATGAGATAGATGAGAGAGGGGTCGGGATTCAATAAATACAAAGTTGAGTTTTAATTAAACATCAAAACCGTAAATTGAAAGTGAGTATATAGTATAATTTACAAGAGACTGTGATCAAAAATGGAAGATTTGTCTGTCTCTACAGATAATTTTTGTCTTCTCACTGTGCTTTCGGCTTCACCACAGTAAAGAAGGTCCTCTCACATTTTTTTTTCATTGACCATGTCAGGTAATCTCGTGTTTTGGTTTTGTTTGTTTGTTTGTTTGTTTGTTTTTACTGAACACCTGAGGTAATCTCATTTCAGGAAATTCAGTGAGAGGGGACTTTTCAGCCTGGTTTAGGTTTTTCTCCTCACATCAAGTCACTTGTTGTGAACAGAAGAAAAAGCATTCGTGAGCCATGCATGGGATATAGGGGTAGGGAAGGGGGAAGGATCAAGAGGTAGAGGAGAAAGACAAGATTCTGAGAGAGATACTTAGGTAAATATTCCAAAATTAAAATACTTAAAACTCAGATAAAGTTGGAGTTAATCTAAACAAAGTTTTAATTTGGGTTATATGAAGCTTTGTTTTAGAATAATAAAATGTTCTCTCATTATATTATTCCTGGTCTATTGGTAGAACAACAGTGTTGAAAAAGCCCACAGAAACAGCACTGTAGTACTGTCCTCCCATTGTTCATCGATTTGCTCAAGTGGGCACCGGTAACATTTCCATTGTGAGCTTGTTACTGTTTTTTGGCATATCAAATGCGCCACGGGGAGCTAGCTGAGCTCTGCCGTGTGGGCGGTATACTCTTGGTAGCTTGCTGGGCTCTCCGAGAGGGACAGAGGAATCGAACCCGGGTCAAATGCCCTACCCGCTGTGCTACAGAAACATATAATGGGAAAATCTGTTTCTAGAGTGTATACAGCAGTGCCAATTCTTCTTTTCAATTACATATGACTTATAAAATTGTGTATTTAAGATTTCTACAACACTGTCCCTGGAGTTCTTTGGCATAGAAGCACTGCATGTATAAATTTTATAGACAGTTGGCACAGTCTTTTCTAAACTTATGGATAAGGTAAGCAAGTTCCTGAAAGGTTCAGTGACTCTAACCAATGGAACTAATGTCCATCTGTGTAAAGGCAGATGTTTTGAGAATGTACTGATTTTTATCATAAGGAATCTATGAGAAGTCATTTATCAATCTGTACCTCTGGCCTGATTTTCCTATCTATTACTTTTCTTAGCTACTTTGTTATATGTATTCAGTTAGTCATCTCTTTAAAATAAATAATTAGAACTCTTATTTTGGAGATGGTCTTACTATCCTTTTTTTGTGGGAATTTTCACTTTCTAACAGTCATTATCAATCATTTCAGATATTTGATATAATCCCACTTAAGTGGGTTCATGTCCTTATATTAGTTTTAGAAAGGGAAGGAAAGTCTTAAGAGTTTTTAATGTTAGAACAAATTTACATAAGCAGCAGTTCAAAACATGCTTCATAATTACAAATATCAGCAGATATACATAAAGATATGAAGTGCTTACAAGAAATGAAAATCAGAGACAAACATCTCCAAGTAACCAAATATTTTTATCTTTTGCTTGTTGAACAAAGTCAATAATAATCCCTAAAGGCTAATTCGGTCCAGATAAAATCTTAGTTTGAAGCCTCAATATATAGTATCTGAAGGCCTTCCCATGAATATTAGGCATGCTTATTTTTCACTGAGTTTGTATTGTATCATTGCTTGCTTTTGGTCTTAAAGTATTTTTTTGTCTCTTTCACACTGTCTTAAGAGGATAAATTTAAGGGATATACTAGCATTATCTAATAGAGTTTATGCACTTAGCATTTTATATGTACATAAAATCTAATCTTACTGCTTATGAAAGGAAGTAGAAATTCTAGAATTTCTTCTTTATTTTTCCAGGGCTAACCTATTAGTATATATATATAGAGAGATATAGATATATAGATATATAGATATATAGACTCATCTGTAATTCAGTCTTTATAAAATTGTAAGGGGGTACTTCTCCAGTTAATACATATTATTGTGGGAAATACATATGGAATGACATTCAATGTTTTTTTTATCTAAACAGTCCTTAAAGATAAGTATACCTCATGGCAAAAGGACATTAGAATAAAAGGATATTTTTTCTAGATTTAGTTTAACTGCAAGCTAAATGTGGGCTTTGGGGTAACAGTTTTTATTTTGGGGCCATACCTGGTGTTCTCAGGGGTTACTTCTGGCTTGGTTCAAGATTCACCCCCAGAGGTGCTCAGGGATTTGAATCTGGGTCACAGTCACAACAGCTACATGCAAGTCGAGTGTCTTATTCCAATACTCTCTCTCCAATCCCAGTGGTAACATTTCTTCTTATTCTATCTTGAGAATGTGTCTCTCGAACTTCTCGTTATATACTTGTACCATTTACACATTTATCTTCATAAGAAAAATCAGATATGAGATATGATGCACACATAAAATATTTTCCTTAAGTATTTATTTCCAATTCGTTTAGAGACCCAGATTCTAGAAAGTAGATTCCCTTCCTATTTCTTTTACTCCTGTATATCCATTATCTATACTTGTCTCTGAAGTTTAGTAAACATACAGTAAATGTTTATGAAGTGAATAAACAAAACAGGGAGAGGAAAAAAATGAACTTTCTTCTTTTATATCTCTATTACCTGAAATAAAAGTAAATAAATAAGTAAATATTGTCCCAGTAAGGCTTTCACTTAATTTCCTTCATAAGATCATGATATAGGAGGGAAGTTTGAGTATCATTGTGTTTCTTCAAAAATCTTTTTACCAAATAAGCATAAGAGGGGTTGGAGCAATAGCACAGCGATAGGGCGTTTGCCTTGCAAGCGGCCGACCCGGGTTCAATTCCCAGCATCCCATATGGTCCCCTGAGCACCGCAGGGGTAATTCCTGAGTGCAGAGTCAGGAGTAACCCCTGTGCATTGCCGGGTGTCACCCAAAAAGCAAAATAAATAAATAAATAAAATAAGCATAAGAGATTTTGACTGAGGTTAAAGAGAAATTAATTAAGAATAAGTACAATAAATAAACTAAATATTTCCAGTTGTTTCCATAATTTTTAAAAACATATCTGAATTTCTTGAGTAGATGAGAGAATGAGAAAATAGGCAGACAAACTAAAACTTTCTGACTATGCTTTCTTAAGGAGAACTTAGCTCTGCTGATCAGTAAGCCTTTAATCAGAACTCAGGTGACTTTGTGTCCAGTGCCCTTCGAGACTGTTGATTTTATGCTCTGTTTCCTTTCTTAGTCTGTGAATTTCTGGTACGTATTGGTCATGAATGATGAACACACAGAGAGACGGTATCTGCTGTTTTTCCTCCTGAGCTGGGGCCTTCCAGCGTTGGTGGTGACTCTCCTCATCGTTATTTTGAAAGGAATCTATCATCAGGATATGTCGCAGATATATGGACTCATCCATGGGGACCTGTAAGTATACTGAAGGAAGAACATGTTGCTTTCTTAGCCTGTGTAGACCCAGGATGCTTTATAAATAATTGTGGAACTATTTGACTGAGGGATGATTAAAAACTTTCCCTTTCCTGAAAAACTGAGTCAATTACTGCTTCAGTACCTTTGATAGTCACCGTTTTTTCAGGTAAGTTTCTTTATAAAATATTTCACAATAATTTGTGCCTGAGCTAATTTTGTTATATTATATTAAGGCAGAAAAAGAGAGGTAGTAAAGAGGCATTATTAAATCTTTGATAATATAATTAATAAAAAATTTGGAGTCTAGGATTTTTTGAAGGTGTGAGTGGAGGCACCCGCCCTAAAAGCCTAAATATTTTATCAGAGCAAAATATTTTATCAAAACAAATGAAGCATGCCTACAAAAGTGTATGGAAAGAAGACAAAGTCAACTATATTCTCTATATGTTTTAATTCAGGTACACTAGTCATTTTGAAATATGACAGATCTATATATATATCTAAATAATTTAAATAAGATCTGATATCTTTAAGAATCACTGATCCCCTTTAGTTGATTATAGACAGAGGAAGGCAAAAACATTTGTAGTAATAGAACTTAGTCCGCTCTCTGGTGCAATAGGGAATAGAGAAAAAATTATTTCTATATATGAAAGAATAACCTCCTCGTAATCTTATGAGGCTAATATTACCTAATCATATCACGAGTATTGAAAAGATCATAGAACTTTCATATAGATATTGATTTTCATATATATGTGAATATATATACATACATACATACATGCATGTATTATTCTCACCACTTTTTGTCAGTTTCTCTGTCAATGAACATTCAGTTTGTTTCTTATCATGGCCATTATGAGTAATGCTGCAATGAATATGGGAGTGCATATTTCTCTTTGAGATTGTGATTTTATTTCCTTTGACTGTATATTCAGAAGTGGAATTACTGAATCACTATAGTAGTTCTTTTTGTAATTTTGTGAGGGACACACGGTTCTCCATTTTGACCACATTAGTTTGCTTTCCACTTTCCTGTCTGTGAGTTCTATTGTTTCCTTCTTTGTGCTAATTTTCTGTGTAATTTTATTTATTGTTTTTTAAGATTTAAAGTTAGGTTGTTTTATTTGAGGCCTTTTTCATAATTTATACCTTTAAGATTATAAAGCTCAGATCTGTTTTTTATTTTGGCAGTTTGTATTTTTTTTATTTCATGATATTTATTCAATTCCCTTAGTTCTTTATCCTACAAGTTTATTGTTTATTGTTTATTTTCTACATATTTGTGAATTTTCCAATTTTCCTCCTGTTGGAAAAGATACTTGAGGTGATTTTAATCTTAAATTGTCAAGTCTTGTTTTGGAATCCATCGTATGATCAAAGTTGGGGAATATTTTGCATGCACTTGAGAATATGTATTCTGCTGTTTTAAAGAATATTCTGTGTATGCCTGTTATCTCTGTTAAAGAATATTCTGTGTATGCCTGTTATAGACCATAGTTGAACACTAAAATTTTATCTCTATTTGTTCTCTCTGAAGAGACTCCTGAACTTACTTGGCCTATCAGATACTTTTCACTTAAAGGATGTCACTTAAAGACATCTGAGTCATTTTACCTTCTTTAAGAAAACAGAAAGTGCTCCCCAGTTTCACCCAAGGCTACTACTGCCGTCTATCCCCCAACCCTCCACACTCAGGTCAGTCTAGCACTTCCTGGGAGGGTGGAGGCAATATACTTCACTTACAGAAACACTGTACTTATATCCTGTATTGCCTCAGTTATTTTATATCTTATATGACCTGTTCATTTTTGAAAAGGTGCTAATGAATTCCCCTACTATTTCTATATTGCCAGTTTTTCCCTTTATATCAATTAATGTTTGCATATTATATCTAGGTGCTCTGTTGTAAGATATATCACAGATCACAGATCATCCTGTTATTCGTCGATTGCCTCGAGCAGGCCCCAGTAACGTCTCCTTCATCCTAGCCCTGAGATTATATTCAAGGCTCTTTAGGAGAATGAGACCCATCATTGTTACTGGTATTTGGCATATTTGGTGCTCCACGGGGAGTTTGCCAGACTCTGCCGTGTGAGCAGGCTACATTTGGTAGCCTGCCAGTTTGTCAGAGTAGGAATGAGATGTTATAATAAGATGTCGCGCGGCCGCGAATGTGGCCGCACGGTTCCGGGAGCTGGTTTTTAATAGTCTCTGAGTCTTGGCCGCTGATGGGATTACATGGTGCCAGGGGGCCAGTTTGTGGGTGTGACCCCCGCCTACTGGAATTTGGAGGATCTGGGTGGAGGATGCCCGACTCCAATCTGAGTAGGCTTGGAGATCTCGGCCCCGGAACCCACGTGGCTTTGTCCCTCTGCCGGTACCTTCAGGTGTGCGGAGAGTGGTCTCAGCGTGGTGGTGGCTGGTCCTGGAGGTCTTCGGCTGCCGGGGCCCTGGTCAGGGCTGGGAGGAAAGCTCAACCCACTCCCCTCCAAGGGGCCCCGGCGAGGAATAGCCAGGCACGGGGGCAGGAGACTGCACTGTTCTCCCTCCGGTTTTTATAGTCTCTGAGCTGGTTTTTATAGTCTCTGAGTCTTGATATATATGAACATATATATGTATACAGATGCATATATATTATTGTTTTATCCTCTTGATGAACTGATGCTCTGTCAAAATGGCATCCATTATCTCCTTATGATGGGATTACACGGCGCCAGGGGGCCAGGTGGTGGGTGTGACCCTCGCCTACTGGAATTTGGAGGATCTGGGTGGAAGATGCTCGACTCCAATTCGAGTAGGCTTGGAGGTCTCGGCCTCGGAACCCGCGTGGCTTTGTCCCTCTGCCAGTACCTTCATGTGTGCGGAGAGTGGTCTCAGCATGGTGGTGGCTGGTCCTGGAGGTCTTCGGCTGCCGGAGTCCTGGTCAGGGCGGGGAGGAAAGCTCAACCCGCTCCCCTCCAAGGGGCTCCGGGAAGGAACACCCAGGCACGGGGGCAGAGACTGCAAATGATGATCTCCTTATATTTTAATGTTACCTAGCTATTTCTGCTCACTTTTTGTTTTCATTTCATTGTGTATCTTTTTTCATACCTTGACTGGATCCAGTGTTGTCCTTGAAGCTGAAGTGGCTCCTGTCGATAGCATAAAATTCAGCCACTTTGTGTGTGTGTGTGTGTGGTTCTTTTATAATTAATTACTGATAGTTGTAAACTTATATCTATGTATAAGGTAAAAGTAATAACATCTTATTAATTTCTTTTCTATAGTTCCCATATTCCTGTGTTGCTCACTTGCACATACCCATCTCTTAAACTCAATGATATAATCTTTGGTCTGCTGGATTGTCTCCTAACTTGTGTTCCTATATCTAATTCCTTCCTTTTATAATCTGCCCATTAAATTCTGAAATGTGTAAGTGTATTATTAATCTTCTGTTTAAAATCCAATGGTTAATTTTAATTGCTTTCAAGGTTATGGAATGTTAGACCATAGTGGAACATTTAACTTTTAAGCCAGCTTCATTTTCAGTTGTACCCATGTCTCCACTTATCCTTGTAACTTTAATTTAAATATGAACTCTATAAGGTATCTATTTTAGAATAAAACACTATCTCTTATAGTATCTTTGGCAGATGGATTGCTTTTTGCAAATCCTATGATTTTTGCCTATATGTCAAATATTGAATTAAAGTCCAACTTTGAAAATAGCAGTTCATACTGGATATTAGTGAATATTTGTATGAGATAATATTTATTGAATTATGAAGAATATGGGGTTATATTTATATAATATGAGATATAGTTAATGCATTTATTAAGGATAAAGGATTAGATTTCCCATTACTGGTAATATCTAAACTGGAATGAAGGAAAGCTATATTAGCACATAGAAAATTTAGACAGAAAGGGATTTAGAGAATATATTTATGCTTTCCCTATGCAGTTGTGTACATACACATAATAAAATTTCACATAATAGTATGATTATTAAAATTTCTCTAACATAAATTACTAAATGTTTCAACATTTTAAATACCACGGACATTTTTCACCTTAAGTAAGAAATATTTTTTCTAACATAAAAATCAAATACTAGTTTAGCAAGACTATATATTTTTTACACCGAAATCTGAATCACACGTCATGATTTTGAGAAAGGTCCCAAGGAACCTATAAAACTGAAAATTTACCTTTGAATAATAACATAAAAAATCCAATATAAACATATTTTTACTTGTCACTAAGCCAAGTAATACTGCAAAGCTAAGAAATCATACCTTACTCAAAATTATTGAAAGATTTCTATACTCAAAAATTTTACACACATTTTCCTCACTTTTTTAAACCAGCACTAGAAATTGTTCCAGCTTTTCTAAAAAATCTTATCGTTGATCTTTGTTTAAATTAAAACCAGAGTAAATGAACTCTGTCCCTGATTGATTTGTTTGGTTACCAGAAGTAACTCTTGACTGTGCCCAGAGGCAGTCAGTAGTTACCTATTTTTCTTGGATTGGCTTCCTGGGTGACATAGAAATCGGAGCTTTACCATGTATAGTAAAGAAGGCAGAAAATGTGGGATGAGATCTAGAGCAAGAGTGAAATAAAGGAGGAAGTAATTTATGATAATAATTCATAAACAGTGAGTTTACCATTAATCTACAATTCCAATTATGTGGCTATTAGAATGCTTGAGAATGATTATCAGTTTCCTGCCATTAGAAGGGGAGGCCAATGTTATCTTAGTGTTCCTACCTTGCAACTACAAGACCCTGGTGCATTAATAAATGTCAATGCAGGCCAGAGAAATGGTATAGCAGGAGGGTGCTTGCCTTGCATGTGATAAGCCTACATTTGATCCCTGACATCACATAATAGCTCCCCAAGCCTCGCCAGGAGTGATCCCTGAACACTGTTAGGTACAGCCCCCAAACAAAAACCAAACAAAAAAAAGTCATTACAGTAAAAATGGCAAAATGACAATTTTCCCCTTC